CTTTGGAAGCTGTGTGAAGCCTCATGGCAGTGGTGCAGCATGCGGGGTCCTGCCTTCTGTGCGGTGGGGCAGGGGTCTGGCGGGTGGCTGGCCTGTTCTCCTGCCTGCTTGAATGCCTCCCCTGTCAGCAGCAGTGCCTGGATCAATAGTTTAAAACAACTACGGTATATATACATAATGGAATACTATTCAGCTAGTGCAAAGGCCCTGAGCCCAGGCCAGGATTGGCATGTTTCAGATCCAGGAGGCCAGTGTGGCTGGAATGTAGGAGAGTGAGCCAGAGGTGGGGGTGGTGGGAAGGAGGTGAGGTCATATGGAGCAGTGCTAGCTAACAGAAATTCAATACGTTTCACTGATATTTGTAATTCTAAATTTTTTATAGCTACCTTAACAAAGTAAAAATAAATAGGTGAAATTAATTTTAATAGTACATTTGTTAGCACCATATATCCAAAATACTATCCCTTCAACATGTAATCAAAATAAAAAATTACTGAGATACTTCACCTGATTTTTTTTGTTACTAAGCTTTCAAAATCTGGTGTGTCTCTCCGTATCTTGTGTGCACATTGGAAATATGCTAGCCACATTTTACGTTCAATGGCCACCATATTGGACAGCACAAATATAGAGCCTTGTGGGCCATGCAAAGGCCTCTGAATGACATGGGCAAGCCAGTGTGGATACTTTGGGGCCCACAAACACTCTGCCCTAGGTACTAGAAAGTTCACTCCAGCTGCTGTGATGAGAGAAGAAGGGGTAGGGAGTGGGGGGGGTAGGGAGTGGGGACAGAGGCGGAGCAGGGAGACTGGGAAGGAGGCTCTTACCAGGCACATGGTGATGGTGGCTTGGATCATGGTGGTAGCAGCAGTGGTTGGATTTAGTGAGAAGTGGTTGGATTAGAACCGCCAGCTTTTCCTGATGTGGTGTGTGAACAAGACAGGAGCCAAGGAAGTGCCAAGAGTTTTGGCTTCTGGAAGGATGCAGTTGTTTTCAGCAGGATGAGGAAGACTGTCAGGGGTGGAGGGTAGCCTTTGGGGAAAATCTGGGGTTAAGTTTGAGATGCAGCTGTTGGGGTTTTAGGGAGAGTTGTCCAGTAAGCAGTTGGATGCAAGAGTCTTGGGTTCAGGGGAGAGGTCTGGTCTGGGGATATAAATCTGGGAGTCAGACGCTTATTGATGATGTTTAAGGCCATGAGATGAGCTGAGAACCTTATGGAGCGAGTGTATATAGAGAAGAGGGCTGAGCCCTGGATAGCACAGATGGAACCAGTGAAGCAGGCTGAGCAGGAGAGTGCAGGTGGGCAGCAGGGAGACCAGCAGAGAGTGGAAGGTAAGTGAGGAAGGGGGTCGGGCAGGAGGGGCAGTCAGCCGTGTCCAGTGCTGCTCATGGGTTGAGGGACACCAGGCCTGGGGATTCCTGATCACTGATGTGAGGAGTGGGGACATACACCAAAGCTGACATGGGTCCAGGGAGAATGGGAGGAGAGGAGACAGCTGGTATAGACCTCTCTTTTGAGGAGTTTTGCTTCCTTTTGAGGGGTTTTGCTTTAACAGGTAGCAGTAAAATGGGATGATATCTTAAGGGGGGGGGTGCATGGTCGTGAGAAGATCTTTTTAAAAATATTAAAGATGCATGATATAATAGTGGATGGGAATGATCTAGTAGACAGGGCAAAATCATGATGTCGGGGAGAAAGAGGAGCACCTGAGCTCTAGTTCATGGTCACAACGATTTTATGCAGTGGGTCCTATTTTTCAGCCATGGAAACTGAAGCAGAGAAATATTCAGTCACTTGCCCAAGGTCACACAAGACCAGGAATTGAACACTGTGGGTTTCCCGGCT